TGCTGTGAGATCTTCTAGGGTCATGTTTGCTCTTTGTCATATTGCTGTTGATATCCCTATTTCAGTTTCCTGCCACACTGAGATACACTAGCAGATGCTATTTCATTATTACAGCAGGGAGTCCTATTTCACGTCCGTTGTACGTGGACCACCTGAAACTACCGTGCATGATTGGAATGGTTCCTTTACACTCTTCTTACAACTTACAGGGGGAGGGTTTTATGGAGGGTGTAAATGAGAATCAGTTCCTCATCTTTCCCCTACCCCAGAGAGTGAATTTTGCATATCAGAAAAAAGCAAAGGCCTCTAGCCCAGTCATTTCTCCATGAACTGCAAAAATCTCTTCACTGGCCCTGTTTGGCATTGCAAACAGTGCCCCAAAGTTGGGTTTCTCACACATTTGTGAATATGAAACTCTGTTTAGTTAACGTCTTGAAACTTAATCATAACCTATGAACAGACTGAAGGCAGGGTAGATCTGCACCTTACAGACTAACTAAATCAGAGCTACATAATCTTTTGTAAGCAGCAGCTTATTTCATCAGACACTAACGAACAGGCTGTCTTTGACCTGAGCTTCAGAAGGATGCAGGTTTTCAAAGAAAAGAGGGGAAGTGGCAAGGATACTGGATGTCCAGAACCATTTCTCCTCCCCTAGCCTCAACAGAGCGGTATTTGGACTACACCATCTTTTATAGTCTCATGAGGGCAGTTTGGGAGCAAAAGCCAGCGGGTCACTGTTGGGCAGAAGTTAATGATCTTGTGTCAAGAGACTCGCATCCCTTCAATGAATATGAGTTCATTGTGCCTATGCTCATAGATAATGCTGTACTGTAAGGCATTGCAACTTGACAGCAGGATTGAAAAGTGCTGCAAGAAAACTACTAGAAAAGCACTGGGAAGATTTCCAACCTAAGAAGAGGAGAGTTCAAAAGGAAAAGGGTATCCTTTAACACTGCCTCGATGTACCTGAATGCTATTTGTGGACTCCCAAATTAAAGTCACTTTGTCTCTCTCATCCTTATGAAGATTTGACATTTTCTGCACAGTGCAAATTTATACTCATTGATCTCTCTCCAAAATAACATCTTTTAAAGATGCTTAATCCTAAAACCCTGTGGGATATTACTGAAGTTTCCTGGGGGCTGTCACCCCTGAGATGCGCTGAACTCACACATTCCCCGCTAGGAAGCTAGTAGCAAGTTACCTGAGCAAGCGCACAGATTTCTAAGCAGCTCGCTTCTGCCCTCTACTGTTTGAATACCTGAGAAATAATCATACAAAAAACTAGAACTCTAGGTTCCAAAATGATACCTTTTATTAGACCAACTGGAAAATGGCAAGAAAATTGTCCTTTTCTGCAAGCTTTCCTCCTAGACAAAGAGTAATTTTTCCAACTATTCAGTTGGTCTAATAGAAAAAAAATCACATTTACCCAAATAACCTTGTCTGCTTATTACCTAGACAGCACTTTTTCCCTCCTCTTATATGAAAATAATGAGAAATAATACTTTTTTACATTGCACAGTCAGCTCTGGGTTTAAAGGTTGGTAAAAAATTTCATATAGGAATACAGGAAAGTGGGTGGCAAAAGACGAGAAAAAAAGTTCTATTTCAACTGAAGCACTATTTGACAGGTTAAGGTAAAGGATCGTATTTACAGCATTCAGTAGAGAAGTATTTTAGTTCATTTATCATGCAGCTCTGAGGCAGCATCTATACAGCTCTTTCAGCTGACAGTGCAAGCAATTTCCATCACTTCTGCTCTTTAGCTGTAATGGACATGGACATTCATTTTCATTGACCCTAGTGAGGGACTCTTTACGTCACAATGTGCCACTCAGATCCAACTTATAAAATGAGCTTTACTTTTTGAGTGCACCTAAGCTTTCACCTCGTTGTTGGGTGTGGGTTTTTTTGCATCCAAATTATATCTTTTGTCACTGAACTCCTCCTGATACCTGGTTAATTTGGGGAGAGATAGTGGGATGTAGCTTTATAACTACATCAACCATATACTCTCCTCCTCCACCCCCACACACCCCATTGCATAGAAAATTTCCCTGTACGTTCTGTTAATTCAGTCTCTAAGGTAAGACGTATTTATCCCATAATAATAAACAGACTCCTCATACCAAAACACACTGACCCGCCACTTTAGGTGGGATGATGAGCTTATGAAAATGAACAGCTTCCTCATATTGTTATTTCACAACCAGATGCCACTTCTGCCCATCTTCTTCCTCCAACTCCAATATAACTAATTAAATGGAAGTTGCATTCACTTAAGTGGGGCATTTTAGGAACACAGCACAAAATCACCAGTTCTTCGTGCTCTGTAATGTGTGTCAAGCAGCAAATAGGAACAGATCGGAAGAGGACAACACACTATTAAATACATAGCACTACTGGGTAGGTATTTATCTGCTGACCCCTGGCTCTGATATACTGAATCAATTCTGTTCTCTGGTGAGCCTCAGGACTGGCAACATTATGTGGTGTTTTCCACGTTAAGGAGTGGTCAACTCTTAAATCCTGCTAAAGAGTCCACAGGATTCACTGTGCAGGAAAAAGCATGAGATTCTAGCTAATGAGGTGTGAGGGCAAATCTGGACTAGCCAAGAACTGAGTCAACAAATGGGTCTGCTATACCTAACAGACTGCTTCTCCTTCCACTGCTTCTTACTGAAAACAACCTCTCCTTAAGTTGCCAGCCCTAGCTACTTTCATGGAGTGGGAATAAGCAATGAAAAGGAGGCATGAAAAGGAAAAGGTGGACTACAGAAGAGAGAATGTGGCGTGGAGCAGAAGCCGAGTCCAAGAGGATGAGGCCAGGTGGCTAGGATGGGGATTCATCCCCCTGTGACTGGATTATTGGTAGAGTCCTAACTAAAAGGAGACCTGGTCAGAAAAGAGAGCATTCAAATACAATTTTCAAAAATTCAGCCAAGCCAACCCCTTCTTACTTTCCACAATGTGAAGAATTAAAATTTAAAAAGATCACCTATAGTCATAACCAGCAAAAAAGAGACAGAGGATTACCAGGAACATGGAGAGAAGTCAGAGAGGAAAGGGAAAGAGGAACTCATGTTAACTCAGCTGCCACCATCACAGCTGTAACACTCAGGGACACTAGCCTCACTGCTCTGAAGAGCCCTGGACTGAATAGCTGATGGACTTTCATTCAGCCCCTTCAAAGCTATTTCCAAGGGGACCGGAGCAGATCCTGTAGTCTGATACATGATGATGTCCTGGCTTGAGTTCCATGGGAGGCTGGACAAAAATAAATATTGCCAGTTCCTCCTAGGGACTACATATTCTCAAACACAGCACTCAGTTGTGAGTGATTCTCTCCACAAACACTGGAGGAGCACATCTGGGTGGGGTCAACAACTCCAGAGTTGTCCAATTAGTTTCTATTGGCCCCATTCAATCCCAGCAGCAGAATCCTGTCAAGTAGGACAAAGTAGCCTGAACTGGCTGAAAGGACCAGGACATCCAAGGGATTATCTGATTCAACATGTCTCTAGGAGATCTTCCAGGACCAAGTCTGGTATGGAGCCTCAGGTGGAAATGAATACTGGTTTCCACTAGACTGAATTGCTGGTTAAATTATGGGCAAATGCCTTTTCTGATGCAAGTGCTGTCACTTTGCAGAGTGCAGATTACACCTCACATTTGTACCAAATGCAAGTGCATCCTTATGAGCAGCCAACACCTGGCAGTACGTGACTTGACAAGCAGCATAAGTACTCTGCAGCACTAGCCAGTGTGCATAGACACAATTCCACAGGCGTGCTGTGATTTACACAAAGGAAGCTGCTGAAAAGTTCAAACTAATTCCACAGACACACTGCACTAACTGAAAAACATGACCTGGCAGGCAAGTTTGAGAGAGCAACACCCTGCTTGAGCTATTTAAAAAAAAAAATCCTGCACTAACAATAATGAGAGTTTCAGATGAAGCAAAAGAACGACTCTTTTTCAGGCTGCAGGAGCTGCGTGCTGGGGGGGAGAAGTGAAATGCAGACTTACATCATCCACCCCTGCCACTGTTGGGGACAGGATACTAGGCTAGGTGGACCATTGATCTGATCATTATGGCACTTCCTGGGCGTGTCCAGATGAACATGGCCATGCGGTATGTGGTGTTGCAAACATGTCTGCAGCGCCACATACTGCACACTAAGGTGTTATCTGTACTGCAAGGGTGTGCTGCCCATGTGTGCACTGCTCTGGGTTTTTTTCCTGGATATCCAGGGGTCAAAAAAACCTGTGGGGAAAAAAAACAATAGAGCAGTGCACTCACAGGCAGCATGCACTGCTGAGAAGTGGAGCTGGGCTCCCCAGAAATGCGCTGCAGCTGCCAGCCAGGCTTCAGCCAGCAGAAGCACCACGGCTGCAGCCCCAGAAAGTCCCCAGGACCCCAGGTAAGGCTGCTGGGAACAGCCTAGTGCTCGACCCAGCCTCCCCTACTGTCTCTGGGGAAATGTGCCACGCACCAAAGCATGTATAGCACAGGCATTCCCTGGGAACAAGTAGCTGCGGCACAAGGTGCACTGCTGCCACTTGTCCCCAGGGAACCAAATGTCTGCACTCGTCTGGATGCAGCCCTTATGTTCTTATGAACTTTAGGTTCACCAGTAGAGGGGGCCCTACATGGATTGCAAAGAGCACACCATTCTTCCCCATGATATTCTATTAGAAACAGCTAAAATCCTCCAAACCAGTGGTTTATTTCAAAGTCATTCTCTACGTTGGTTCCTCCTCATGCCCCTGTCTACATTAGCCTCCTGATTTCTTCTTGTAGACTTGAAGGTGGCATGCTGTGATGACTAATACAATGGGTGCAGTTATACAGACAGAAAAGAAGTAGGTTAATAAATATCCTGGAGAACTGCAAGGTACCAACAAGAAATATTTACGGTCATCATTATTTGTAGCTATACTGTACAGTGTATTATAACTTCAACTTATGGTTACAAAACCTTTATTAATCCAAGTGGTACAAACAATTCCAAAAGCACACCACCATCTGGGTAATTTTTCTTACAGCCATTACATGCAACATCTAAGATTCTCACAAAAAGAAAAAAATCTTTGTGCCTGAGTTTGCTGGGCTTGCCCCTGAGAACACTTTACGTATGAACAACTTCAACATTCACCCTTCCTCCTCAGTTTTGTCTGTTTGTGGGTCTATCACAGGTTTAAAATGTAATTCTTTCAAGTCCCTTTATAAATTATAAGGAAGCATAATGGATGACCAGGCCTGTGAGGCAGAAATTCTTGAGGTTTAACCCTGAATGCACCATTGACCTGCTTCGTTATTTTAAACAATTCCCTTAACCTCTCTGTATCTCAGTTTGCAAACCAATACAATGGGCTTTGTTATACTTACAGACCCCAGAGAAGGCTGAGAGGATTAACTCACTAAAGTTCAAGCAGCACTGTAAAGTTGGAAAGATGAATATGAAATACAGTACCACCGCTAGGTATCATGAGAGTTACAAGTAGGGTTACAGATACCTTTCATTCCAAGAAAATAAGATAGGCAATAATTTGTGCTGATGAAACAATGGGGTCTGTGAACTGAATGGATTGTGTGCAACTTTGGGGACTGAGGCAGACCCCTCAGTTGGACAGAAAGTAGGTTACTTCTCTCAGAAGTTTGCAAGACCCCTTTAAATTCCTTTCAGCAGCAGCTGCCAACCCTAGTTCTCAGGAAAGATACGAAGGGTTATGTGCCTCCTGCTTCCCATGGGTTATCTCTACCAAGTTGACGGACTCGTAACTCAAAAAGCCAGAATCCTCAGATGAATTATGTGCAGCCTCTTATGTGAGTGGGATGGAGCCATAATTCAAAGCTGACCATCTCATGTTTATGTAGAGCCATTCTCAAGTCAAGATTTATTTCATATCATGGAAGAAACAACCTATTAGTCACCTCCATCTAGGTTCTTTGACAACACTAAGTGATAATTCCCATAACTTTGAGCTTTGTTTTTAAACAGCTTCAATTAAGCTCTGAAAATCCCTTGATAAATTACAGCACAAATTCCTTGCTGGACATGGGGAAAGACAAATTAGCTTCATGTGTTGTTCAGTGGACTAAATGATGTATTTATAACAGGACATACCTGGATCTAAGTTATACTGTTTAAGGAGCCTGAAGACCAGCTTGCTCAATGTTTTGTGGTTAAATTTATCTGGTCTGTAGTCGATCAACCCTTGATACTGCCTGTAGGCAACAAATAAAACAAAAAGCAAAGTGTCATTATAAGTGGATAAGATACTTGCCCCTCTTAACAGTAAAACCTGACCATCAGTACAATTCCTATACCATTTCCTGATCTATCTGGGAATTCCTAACCAGGCAGGCTACAGTATTTCCAAACTAGACTTCCAAGGCACAATCAGACTGCAGCAAAATCTATGGCAGATTTCAAGGGATGTGCTGCTCTGTACATCGTTTAGCAGCAGATATTTGTGCTTTCATTTTCCTATTCAAAGGCTTTTAGGAGTGTGCCTCAGTAACTTAAAAGTACCTGGTTTTCCACAACCCTGTTGGGGCTTTTTCTGCTTTGTACTATAATTGTACCTACTGCACCTACACGGTTACTTTGATTATACTGCTGTCTCTGTACTTGGCAGGAGCTTGCTGATAAATCATGATTTAGAAATGACAAACAAGCATGAAGGTTTGACTGGAAAAAGAATGATTTGTCTTGCATTTTTCTTGTTGTTTGCTCTTGCTTTATGGGACTATCTCACTGCTAGACCCACACAACAAATACTTCCCATCTTCCACAGCAGCAGAATCAGGTTATTAAGGCTTCCTGGAAAGAGCTTTGTTTTCAACAGGTATTGCTGAGACTGACTGCAATGTCTTTGTTTATAGCTTCTCCAGGGAGAGGAACTGAGCACCATCCCCTAGTATTAACATTAACATGAGTGATATAGTCTCAGCACTTGATGGGATAGCTTTGAGAGGACAAAAACTTCAGTTACCAGAATATTCCCCTTCTCAAATGATAAACAAACAGACTTCATTCAGCAACTTAATACACAGCCTTCAAATACTATAAGAAAACAAATGTAGACAGTATACAAAGAGATCATATTATCTTTTCCTAATGGCCACTTAGCACCTGTCTGGAATGTCATCTAACATTTCATGCTGTTTGGAAACTAAAGGGGTAACAGGGAAAACAGAATAATATTTTACCTTGAGATGTCTTTAATATTAAAACTGGGTTCACGCCACGCATCCAGGATCTGTAAAAGTTTGCACTGAAGATTGGGATATTCTGCTACATAAGCCTCCACTAAGTTAGTTTTATCTTGAAGCAGCAGTGGAGTGCACATCTATGAAGAAAACCAACATACAGCACAGAAAGTGCATTACAGACACTGCATTGCTGCATATTGCTCCCCACAATGAACTGGTACAACTGCAATGGCCAGAGCAGTGCAAAGGCAAGGTCACGGTTCTATGCCAACCAGCCCACATGGGTAGAAAGGGAAAAGTAGTCCCACAGAGGCTGTTGCCTCCAATTTTACTGCCCAGAAGGCAGATTGTTAGACTTATGGCCCTACACACTGGCTCAGGATGAGCCCCAGTATGGCCCAACCTCTTCTACAGTGATGTCTTTAAGTGCCCAAGGGAAATGTCTTTAAATCAAACAACATAAGAAAAATGCTTCTATGTTAGCATGTATCTAGGGAGAATTTCTTACATAATTTTTCAACACAAATACCAGCCATATTATTATAAAGCTTCAGCCTGAGAATATATTAAATCCAGGTCATACCTAACTATAACCTGGAGGGTGAATCCCCTTAATTATAATCTTCCTACATACATTATCCTAGAACAGCTAGAGCAGGGAAGAATTTGGCACTATTTTCATTTAGTTAGTTTTATTATAGCAAAAACCATTTGCCAAACTGAATGAACACAGCTGGATTTCAGATCCTAGTGGTGGAAAAATTCTTCTGAGTTGTAATATGGTATAAAAAAAATATGCTAGTCCCTTAACAGCTGTCACATTGTGTAAGCACCTTACTAGCAATTTATTGCAAATGAGATAAAGGTTTATAATTTGATATATAATTCCCACTTTTGCCGAAGATTCACCTCATGGGGCACATTGCACTGGGCAAGCCCTTGGTTCATCTCGTTTGCCAATGGATAGATCTGATGGTAGAGAAGTCTACACAGGAAATACTCACCTTCTCCAAGTCTTGATCCTGCTGTAATCTTAGCTTTATGCTCAGAATGACTGCCTAGAAAATACAAAGGTATACAAGACTTGTGAGCTTCTAAGAAAACACAGAGTTAGGAAGCGAGGAACATGACTGATAAACAGATATGTTTCTGAAGTCAAATATATAAGTTATATACCTACTTTTCATAGAATTCTTTTTCTTACAATCCTTGTAATATGCTGCTTAAATGCACTTGGCTGCACAAATGCTATTTAGAGGACCATATAAACACTATTGGTGGCATTACATACCTCAAAAGGAAAAGTTATGAGATCAAGCAAGCTACTAAAAATTTTAGAGAAAAGGCAGTCTCTGGACAAATGTTTGGAAGAGACTCAATTGCAGGAATTTACTTCTAAAAACTGAACAAAAATGATATTGGTAAACTAGCTGGACACAAATCATGCTGTCTTTTGCATTTTGCAACCTAGTTATATTTTGTGAAAGCATCACATTTTTAAATCTAAATAAATATCAACACATTCTCTTCTAAACATTAACATTTAGCTCCCCTTGTCCCAGATGTTGTATGTTTTATTCATCATGAATGATAGGATGTATTTGCCCCATTAGGTACTCTAATGAACCCTGCAGCATATGCGAGGGAGGTCAGAATCAGGAACTTAATTTGACAAATGAGGAAACTGAGGCACAGAATGGTGCAGGGATGTGCCAAAGGCAGAGGCCTAATAGCACTCTGCTTGGCCTGTGAGAATAGGGAAGTATTCGGTTCGGATTCAGCTGATTTGGAGTGATTTGATTTGGAAATTCAGATCACTGTCCCGAATCAAGTCACCTAAATTGGCTTTGGAAGAGTCAGTGCTGATTTGGGGAGTAATTATGGCAGCTAATCTTCAAGAGCCCCATATGCTAATAACGCAATGACTTTGTGTGTTGGATCACAATTAATGAGCATTTGCCTAATAAAATGGATATTTATGGTTCTGTGTCACTGAAATAGGAGGGGAGTAGCCCATAAAGCAGGGGTGGGCAATTATTTGATCCCAAGGGCCTCATGGAGAGTTTTGATGATCTCACAGACTGGGTTAGCAGCCCCCTCCCCCCTTGTGCTGCAGCAACTCATCAAAATTCCCCATGGGGCTGTGGGCAGGGAGTGCGTACAACAGAGCTCACATGGGCAGTCCAGTCCATGCTGCCCCCACGGCACTCCTCATGGGGCTGAGTCCCACCTGCCACGAGCAGCCCATGCCATGAGCCGACTGGGTGCTGTTCTGCGCCCCCCACCCCCCAACTTCCAATGACAGCTTGTTCCAATGACAGCTCCTGCTCCTGGCTCTGTCGTGCTGTACCAAGCAGCTTCCGATGGGGCTGTTCCTGAGGTGGCTGCAGCTGGCCAGGTGCTACTATGCTCCCTCTGCCTCCAGCAGGGGTTCCTGCTCCTGGTTCTGCCCCTGCCACGCTGTGCCACGCTGCTCCTGGTGGTGGTAGGCAGCTTCAGCTGGGTGGCTCTTACCTCAGTGTGCAGGGCTGTGTCTTCAGCTCCCAGCCACCTTCCAGCTGAAGGCAGCCAGGAGCTGGAGCCGGAGCACTGTGTGCTGGGCCAGGAGCTGCATGGCTGAAGCTGCTCAGTCAGAGTGGTGCGGTGCAGTGGTGTGGTGCTGGGCTGGTGAGAGCCCAGTGCAAGATGCCCTGACATGATTGGGCAGGGCTTGGCCCCATTGTGGAGCGCTGCAGGGGCAGCTGCAGGCCGGATCTGGCCCGTGGGCCATATTTTGCCACCCCTGCCCTAAAGAAAGTGGTAAAAGAAGTTGAGTGTGAATACATGTGGTTACAATGGGAGCATGATAGGCATGCTGAAGCTCCATGTTCTATTTCTGGCTTTGTGACCCTTGGCCAGTAGCATAACAGATGGGGGCCATTCGGGGAGAGCCATGGCATTGCCTTTGTGGGGAGGAGTGGGGAGTGTGAAAATAGCTGCTTTTCCCAGCCACAAGGGCTCTCCTATACTCTGTTGCTGCCCAGGGCAGACTCTAGGGATATGCAAAGCTTCGGTCACTGATTCAATTTGGAGAAGATTCGACCCGATTCAGAGGGCGAATCACCAAATCCAAATTGAGTTGGGAGACCAAAAAAACCCTCTGAATTGATTCGGAAAAAGATTCAGAGATTTGGAACAGAAACTGAGAAGAGGTAGAAGGAGCGGGG